GACAGCCAATCCATGAGCTTTATGTTTCCAGCCAGCTGTCTGCCACAAATGTATTTGGGTTCTGATGGAAAGCAATGAAAAACCACATGCACATGAAGAAAAAAAAAAAAGTTCCCTCAAAAAACTTGGAGTAGGAGGGTAGTTGCCTGTTACTCTGAAATAACGTATCTTGCAAAGAATCTGCTTTCAGCGAACACTTTGGCTTGGAGCAGACAATCACCATTCACAAACATTTCTGTCAGTGTTTTATTGGCAGTTTTAGAATAAAACCCTAACAAAACAAACTCAAGCATAGCTGAAGAACTAAGTAGTGATATGGAAAACATATAGAATCTCCCAAAATTGTGCTTGCAATTCTAAAATTTTCTTTTGTGCCTCAAGTTAGGACTGTTTCTCCAAACGTTACACAATTTTATCTCACATAACAAGAATTTTCCATTCATATCCTCATTGTGAGGTGCAATGTAAAGCTTATAAGGTAGTGGTGTTCAGTTTTCTACAAACATACAATCTAAAGTCAAGGGCGGGGGGGGGAAATTTTGAAAATTTTGAAACCCTGTTCCACCTATTATTTTTTCCCTCCAAAAACAACAATCTGAAAAACTGAAATGATGCTCCATGGGATCTTCTGGTGATATCACCAGTGGAGCGCTCCCAAAGACATTACAGTGCATCTCTTGGAACGCTACAGATATTAATTAGTCTTACTAAAACGCAACTTCCAGAAACTGATATATGAAATGAGAGGTGACTAACAAGTCTTTGGCATTACATATCTTTGTTTGGAATAATCAGTTACCAACGATCGTAAAATTATTTTGATGGTTTGGACGTTTCCGATCTCATTTTGGCTCCTTGCAGGAAAAGAACATAGCTTGTTTGTTAAAGGTTTATCTTTGAACAAGGTACGTGCTAAGACTATATACCATCCCGTTCGTTTGCTCCTTGTTTCACGCTAGTCCCTGGCTGTCTCCGCTGCATGCACACTAGTTCGCTTCCAGGCTTTTACCTGAAGTAAATCAATTATTTATTCTGTCTGGGAAACCTGAGTGCAGAATAGCAGATAGAAGATACTGCATATATGAACCACTCCACTGTCCCCAGGGATGAGGGTTCTTCCCCTGAGCCAAGAACAGCAAAACCAGGTTAGGCTTCACTGTATTTGTCTGGCAATGGGAATTTTAACACTTTACCGGTATGACAAGCTATGAATTCGGGCATAAAGGTCTTCACTTTGTCTTTGGTTTGGCGCACGCAGACATGAGAGCCAGGTATAACCAGAGTAACATTTGAAAGCCAGCTGGCTCTCAGGAGCTTGACTGTTTGCTGAGAAATGAGAAATAGAAGTGACCTGAAACCCGGACAGGTTTGAACAGGGTTGCTTTCATGGGAGTCACGACTGGGTCCATGAGAAAATTCTTAGCTAACCTACCAGGCCTGTCTGGATTTTCACACACCGTTTTCCTACGTTACAAATTTTGTATACAGATTTTGCTGCCAGACCACAAACCCATTCTACATATGTGTATTTAAAGACTGGGGCATAGGGCTCCTTGGAAAATCTTGCTGTTTGACCCACCTCACTGTAAATTATTTTTAGTATCTCTGGGAGGGTATTTATTACTGCATTAGAGGCATAAGTGTCTTCTGTCATGTAACATAAGCATTATTATCTCTCTCAAAAAAAAAAAAAAGCCAACCAAAAAAACGTAACCCAAGCAGCCGCCACGTAAACACAAAGTTACCACTCAAATTCTTATTGATTGTTGTTGTCAACACTCGCAGTAAGCAATTATTTTCTTATACGGACTAGAGACTTCCCATGTTCTAACTTTCATCCGCCGTCTCTTCTCTTTCTGCTACGCACCTCTAGGAAGAGCCTGGCTCCATCTTTTTTAGACCCTCCCATTAGGTATTTGTAGACAGCAGTTCCTGGCTCAACCATTTATCTAAAAGCCCAATTAAAATTCTGGTTAAATCATACCTTCTTCATCACCCTCTCTCACCAATGAAATAAATCTTCCAAACTATGTACGTCAGCCCGTGCCCGTGACTATTTTTCTTCACTTTGCACAGGCCTCCAATCTATAAACTGACAAAAATTTCCAGAAGGTAAAGCCTTGATGTTGACGCTTTCCTTTTGATATGCCAAAAAGACGCTTTCTTGCAGACCAGCTCCTGTTAGTCTTTCCTATAAAATACACCACAACCAAGCTGACCTGGGTGCTTTAGCACATTACAATTTGATGCGCTGGGCAACAGCTCAATTTAAGAAAGAAACAGAGAACCCTAACAGGTAGTCAGCTAGTAAACATAATATTTGTCATTTAGTGCTGCAAGATGCCTAGGGTAATAGGGAATCTCACAGGTCCTCTCAGGTTTGGGTTTGTTTTTTTCCCCCAACTACATTTACTTCAGATTTCACACTTACGTACTATACCTCTTCATTTCTGCCACAGCAGACCCCAAGCTCTAGCCTCACATTTTGCAGACTCCTTGGCACTACCGGCTGTTATTACCATTTTAGATTCCATGCAATACCATACTGAATTCTACCACGTGAAGGCACACAAACTCCAGAGAACTCCTTTGATCTTATCAAAGAACATCCAGAAGCATTATCATCGTTGCTTTTTTTTTTTTTTAATTTATCAGTCCTGTGTTGTTGCTTCCATAAAGATATAATCCTCAGAGTTAAAGTCTGCAATACCTTTCACATGAAGAGGCAAAATCAATCATGGGTCAAAAAATAAGGCAAATTTCACATCTATATCAAACAGTACGACTGTCGCACGTAATCTCTAAGGGGACCAGAGATCAAAGGACACTGAACAGAAGCAAACAACACACCTGTTCCTTCAGGCAGCAGCTGTAGGAGTTATTAAAACGATATTTGCAGCTACAGTGGCTGGCTGTCCTCATGTTGCCTCAATTCTTAGGACGTATTTCTTCCATTTCTCATCTTAGTCAGCAACATCTGCATTGTTTTAATTCTCCATTATGCTCAGTAATGTAGTTTTTGTACATCTGCTATCATATTCTGGGTTTTAATAAACTGGTTTTCTCCTTGATCCCCTCATCATCTGTTTCTTCATTCCCTGAACCTACCCTAAATCCTGCAATACCAAGCAATTTGCTTCTACAATCCTTCTCAGGCAGGTTTCATTAAAACCTCCAGCTGCGGAACTAATGTTTTAAATGTAGAACTAAAATCTAAAATCTAAAATCTCCACACCTGGAGACCTTGCACTGGCCCTGCTGGGAATCCCACCAAACTCAAACCACTTAAGGAGTTTGTAGACAACCAACTTTTGACTTCAAACAACATCTTTGAAAGTCTCCATGGCCGTACATTACCCTCTAGATTGATGCCAAAAATCACTGTTCACGCCCGGCTCCTTCACAACATAGTTCTACACATGTCTAAGCGCAGACTGTAGAAACGCCTTAATACAATTCTTTAAAACAAAATTCCTCACTATCAATTTATGCATTTTTCCCTGTTAATTAACGGCCAGTTACTGGCACGATAAACCAGAAATGCTGCAAAAAGAGGTCTACTAAAATGCCCTAACCATGGGCAACAGCTTAACTCTTAAAAATCAGGCAGCCAGAATCTTTTTTTTTTTTTTCCCCCAGAGCCATCTTCTGTGCTAGTTAGACTAAGATGAAAACTCACTGCAATATCCCTAAAACCTATTTGCACGGAACGCTAGAAAAGAGGACCATGACAAGGGCAGGAAGCGGACGCATCTAATTGCTTTAAGTCTGAAGTTTCCATGAGATCTCCCAAGGACGTACACTAAAGCCACCTTCAGCTTTCCTTCCGCATGGAGGTGTGAGTCACCTACCTAAGCAGCAATGCTAAGGGCACATCCGTGAGGTCTGAACAGCCCCAAGAACTAGGTGTCCTACAGCTGCCAGACTATTTGACATTAAGTTGCTGGTTTAAAAGCGCAAGCATTGCTCATTTTCTCCTTTTAGAAAGTTCTACTTTCTCTGCACCCAGAATCGACCACCCAAAACCTCTGCAGGGCACCTGGGAGCCCCCTGAAAACTCCCCCGCACTCACAAAGGCCGCAGCCACACACAAACACCATGCTGACACCAAAAAGGGCCACCAAACCGCACTCCAACCCAGTAAACTCAAGCACATCCCTGCTCTCACGTGTTCTGCAAGCGAAGGCTCACATCTGTCTCCATGTCTTAGTCACAGCCTGTGTGGATATAGATCCTTGACCCCACAGGCCCACTTTTCAGGAAGGGCCCATCCTTTCCCTTCAACTTTTCCCTCCCACCCCATCTGCACCGAGCACACCGCAGCAGATATGAGACCACCAGAGGTGAATGGAAATAAAAGGCGGGCGCTGCAGGAGTCTGAGGAGTACTCCACGTTCGCCTGGTGCTTTCCAGCGCCCCGTTTATCTCAGGAACAGCATCCCAGATGAAAAGGGCTGGGGCAATTTGAAAGCAACTCACTATAGGGCAGCGAAAGCCTACTTCCCCCCCTTTTTCAGTCAGAAACACGAAGCCGGCTTTACAAAGGAATTAAGGGAAGGGGGAGCCGCCCGCGCAGCCGCCCGGCCCCTGAGAGAGCCCTCACAGC